TCCAATGATATCCGAGTGTGTTTGTAGTTTAAGACTCTTCTGCTAATTCCCGATAAAGTCGATCAAATTCGAACAAAAACGAACAATGTCCGGTAAAGTCGAACAAAGCCGAACAAAGTCGAACAATGTGCAGTATAGTCAAACAAAGTCAAACAATGTCCGGTAAAGCAGAACAAACTCGAAAATGGACATCGTTCGACTCAAAATGTCGAAATCGGACATCGTTTGACTGAAAAAGTCGAAAACGGACATCGTTCGACCATTTCGGTCGAGTCATAAGTCTAGCACCTCAACCCGGGAAAAACGTGATCAATTTTGGAGAAGGTGACATTAAGGGTCTCAAGTATAGCTAAAGACGTCTGGCGAAACAATAACCACAATAATGAACTCCGGAACTCCATTTGTGAATGAGCACATGGCAGCACGATGCTACACCCCGTGCCATTTGTTTATGCAATTGTGTCAGCTGTGTTCATGCAATCTACAAAAGAAAAAGCAATATTGAAACAATATGCAATAAAAAATGAGGATCGGAATCAAAAATTGAACGGAATGAAGCATTGAATTATTGGACATTTTGTCAAATCCGAGGAATAAACAGTCAAATTGGCTCAATTCACGAGCATTTTTCCTATAATTGAGACAGAAACATCCTACCAAAGGTATGAATCAAGCTGCAACAAAAAACTGAAATGGTGCCACACATCGACTCGATACAAGAATCAGATCCAAAAAAGACCTCTTGAAAGAAGAAAATACGAGAAATTTTCACAAGATGCGGAAAACTGAGAAAAAAGGATTTCAATAAAGATTTTAAAACACTTCAGCAGAGAAAAGAGAGAAAAGAACTGGAGTTTAACACAAAAAAATGATCAAAGTAGTGTAAACAAAGATCAGCCTAATTGTTTTAACTGTGAAAAAAGACCAAACACCAAATTGTTTTTAGATTCAAAAGAAATGTATCCACAAAAATTAAAATCAAATGCCCGACATCGAAAGAAAAATAACAAATGTAGCACACACAACTAAAGCAGCGAGCACTAGAGAAGTATTTTTCTCAATTCTGGACTTACAACACGCATATACACTAAACCTACTGAATAAACCAACCTGAGAGCAATGTCCTGTCAGTCTCAACGAGAAATAACAACGGGTTCGTACCAACTCCAGACTAGATTTTAAGGCCTGTCAAAAATTCCGGCCGAACTTCAAAGTAATTGACTTCAAACTTACAAAACGTAAGAATTTGCTTGCATTTTCAGGTGACAGCCTGGTGATTACAAAGTGGAAAAATCGATGTCAAAATCCGAAATGAGTAAAAAAGATCAACTGAATTTTGATTGCAACCTTTTAGGGTGATTTTGGCTCAACAAACTTGAGAAGTGACAAGGACGCTAATGAAGAAAACTGCAGCAACCGAAACTGCAACTCCCAAAATTTATCAGAACAATTGAAAATGGGGTCAACACACACCTGTACAAAAAATATCCCCAACGCCGCTGAAACAGCGTTACTCAGACCAGTATTGAAAAACGCTGAAACGAAAAAATTCAATTAGAACGAAAAAACAAAAAAGTGGAATGTAAACAAATGGCAGAGGTAGTAACCGAAAATATCACTTCGAACAAATGCTAGAAACAGGACTAAGATGCGATGCTTCGGCGTTTAAACTGGGTGCGGCATTGAAGCAAAAATGTCGTAACTAAAGATTACGATTTTGTATGTGTGATTGTTTTTTAATTCTTACAAGGAAACGTGTTCTACCGTCAAAATGAAGCTGTAAAGTAGCTTTGTCGGTAAAACATTTGAAATACTATCCATAC